ATGGAATCCATCTGCGTGAAATCTATCGCTCGACAAGTCTGAAGAGGCAAAGGTCTCCCCCTGAAATGTCAAGATGCCAAGCGTGCCTGGCGAGCGTCACAACGCCTCCATAGTCCCACTTTGGCACAAGCTTCCCCTTTCTATTTGGGGTCCCGGGGCTCAGAGCACAGCAGGAAGGCACAGCGTAAGCACTCCTGACAGATGGTCATCCAGCCTCTCCTTAAAAGCCTCCAGAGGAGAGACTCTGCCACCCTGTGAGGAAACATTACTTACTTAGGCGATCCCTCGTAGCTCGAGGATGATTGTCTTCCGGATGTAGTGTCTTGGCGGTGGGTTTGTAGGTGGCTGTGGAGCCCTATTCTTGATCCGCATCTTCTCCACATCAGTTTCCAGATGGAAGACAGTCCTGGTCAGGGTTGGCTTGACGCACCATCTTCTTGGTACATTTCTTTCTTTCACCCTCCATTCGTGCCTCTTCAAATTCCACAGCACTGCTGGTCACAGCTGACCTCCAGCTGGAGCGCTCAAGGGCCAGGGCCTTCCAGTTCTCGGTGTCTATGCCACAGTTTTAAGGCAGGCTTTGAGCCCATCCTTAAATCTCTTTTCCTGTCCACCAACACTCCATTTCCTATTCTTGCGTTTGGAGTAGAGCAACTGCTTTGGGAGATGGTGATCGGGCATTCGGACAACGTGGCTGGACCAGCAGAGTTGTTGGCAGAGGACCAGGCTAAAGTTGAACGTTTTTCTGTGTTGTATGTCCTTGTTCACTGTGTGTAAACGGCATTGAATGTATGCCTCATATGTGTACATTGTAATCCGCTCTGAGTCCCTCCAGGGAGATAAAGCAGAATATAAATAATGTGTATTATTGTGTTGTTGAACACTTTCATGGCTGGAATCACTGGGCTATTGTAGGTTTTTCGGCTGCGTGGTCATGTTCTAGAAGTGTATTATTATTATTATTATTACTATTATTATTATTATTATTATTATTATTATTTGAAACTCAACAAGATGAGTCTACAGCAGACAAGATCACTCTGCTGGCTGTTTTATTGGCTCACACGTCAGACACTTTCCAAATGTCTATGACTGTGTGATGTATCGGTGAATAATGTGTGCAGATCCCAGTAAGGTGGCCTTTTGCAGCTGACAAATGGTAATTTTGTCAGCGCCAATTGTGTTTAAGTACAGGCCAAGGTCTTTAGGTGCTGCACCCAGTGTGCTGATCACCACTGGGGCCACCTTTACTGGTTTGTGCCAGAGTCTTCGCAGTTCGATGTTTAAATCCTCATATTGTGTCAGCTTTTCCAGTTGTTTCTCTTCAATCCTGCTGTCACCTGGGATTGCAACATCGACGATCCATACTTTTTTAACACAATCGTGAGGTCAGGAGAATTGTGCTCCAAAGCGCTGTCTGTCTGAATCCGGAAGTCTCAGAGTAGCTTGATGTGTTCATTCTCTGTAACTTTTTCCGGCTTGTAATCCCACCAGTTCTTTGTCGCAGGCAGATGGTATTTGTGGCACAGGTTGCAATGAATCATCTGAGCAATGGTGTTGTGCCTCTGCTTATAGTCTGTCTGCTTGATCTTCTTGCAGCAGCTGAGGATGTGATCTATTGTTTCAACTGCTTCCTTACAGAGTCTACATTTGGGATCTGTTGTCGACTTTTCAATCYTGGCTTGGAYGGCCTTAGTTCAAATGGCTTGTTCTTGGGCTGCCAGAATCAGGCCCTCCTTTGTCTCCTTTTTCAGAGTTCCATTTGTGAGCCACAGCCATGTTTTTTCTTCGTCAATTTGGCTCTCAATTTTTCCCAGGAACTGTCCATGGAGAGCCTTCTTTGGCCAGTTTTCTCTTCTGCTCTGCATTGTGTTTTTACGGTATTCRCTCTTTGTCTTTGCACTTTGAGAAGTTTACTACTATTGACTTCCCTCAATGTTAGTTCTTGACTGCATTTCACATCATCTGCCAGGGMATTTATTATTATTATTATTATTATTATTATTATTATTATTATTATTGCTACCAGTATTTTTTTTAAAAAAAAACACTCTAAAATCAGGACAGTAAAGAAAAAACAACACTAAAAAAACAGGGGAATCCCAGACAGGAAACAATCAGGGACAGCTAACACATCCCAACAAAGGATTCCCCCAGGCAGAAAGCAGCCAGGCTTTAAAGCTACAGGGCCATTTGATACTTTGCAGCTTTAAAGCAGGAAGCAGCCAGGCTTTGAAGCTGCAAGGCCACTCAACGCTCACAATAATGTTTTAAGGCTTTGTACGGTTTTTATATTTTTTATATATCATATGCTATTGTTTTGAACAGAAATTTCTTGATTGTTTTTACCTATTATAATTGTTGAGGCATCAAATTGTTGCCAATTTGTGAACCGCTTCGAGTCGCCTCTGGGTTGATAGGGGCGTTATATAAATAAATTATATAAATATAGTAAATAAATGAATAAATAATCAATAAATAATCAATAATCTTCAAGCAGATAAGAGTTCTTTCTCCCACCCTGGATATCAGTCCACAGGTATATAAACCCCACTTTCCTACTTTCCAACAGTCCTCCCAACCTCTGAGGATGCCTGCCATAGATGTGGGTGAAACGTCAGGAGAGCGTGCTTCTCACAGCAACAAAAGGATCAACTTTCATTAAACACTGCAGACATACTTTGGAGCCGTTCTCCAGTTTGAGATGTTGGTCAGCCAGCCATGTCCTCCATTCCGTTTGGTAACTCGGCATGGCTGGATTTCCCGAAGCTATTTGATCCCTGCCCTTTAAGTGGGCGTCAAAAATGTGTGGGCAGGATTTTATTCATTTTTCATGTGCTTTCCAGTGTCTCCCATTCCCATTGTCCTCTTGGGTACATAAAAGACGCACCACCGAGAAACGATTTCTCTATAGAATGACCCATATAGTAGTGTGAGAGAGACAGTATTGATTTAACCGCTGGGGAATATAGGATGAATAGGCCTGAGTGCTTCGTTCTGTATTGATTTGGAAACCAGCTTTACAATGATGCCTGGGATCCGGCTTGGGACTTGCACCTTTCGTAAATGGCGGCAGGACGTCCTATCCTAACGTTTTGGTGGACATCCTTGTCCTGCCGTTTGAATCCGTGGCTCTGTGTCCTCGTCTCCACTCAAAACGAGACGCCAAAAGCACATGCACGAAACACGCTTCTCGACTCAGCCTTTCGGCAATTAGTCTGTGCAAAATGGCCTTTGATTACGGCTGCGTCAGCATCCATCCGCAGCAACGGCCTGTCAGGTCAATGTGCATTTCGGAAATGAGGCCAGCGCTTCAGGAAGGGATCGGGTTTCCCCCTGCCATGCGCCAGTAATAATTGGCCTGTCAAGACCCTTTGGTCCAAGACGATGCGCAATTAATAGAGGGGGGGGGCTGTTATATATTAATTACAGAAACGTTTCCCCAAAACTGGGAAATGACTGCAAGCAACCAGGCAAAGCCACAAAGGTACAGCTCTTATAGTTTCATATATGCTGATGATCATGCCATCACCACCCAAGCAGGGAGCTTTGAAATGGGAGTGTGCTTGTTCCATCACACAAATGACCAGGCGCTGCCAGAAGGGACACAGAGTTTCATCTATGCTGACGATTGCACCATCACCACCCAAGCAGGGAGCTTTGAAATGGGAGTGTGATTGCTCCATCAATGTTTAACATCTACCCAAATGACCAGTCACTGCCAGAAGGGACAGAGAGTTTCATCTATGCTGATGATTGCGCCATCACCGCCCAAACAGGGAGCTTTGAAATGGGAGTGTGCTTGCTCCATCAATGTTTAACATTTACACAGATGATCAGCCACTGCCAAAAGGGACAGAGAGTTTCATCTATGCTGACAATTGCGCCATCACCGCCCAAGCAGGGAGCTTTAAAATAGGAGTGTGCTTGGTCCATCAATGTTTAACATTTACACAAATGATCAGCCATTGCCAGAAGGAATAGAGAGTTTCATCTATGCTGACGATTGCACTATCAACGCCCAAGCAGGGAGCTTTGAAAGGGGAGTGTGCTTGCTCCTTCAATGTTTAACACACAAATTACCAGCACTGCCAGAAAGGACAGAATTTCATCTATGCTGATGATAGTGCCAACACCGCCCAAGCAGGGAGCTTTGAAATGCAAGTGTGCTTGCTCCATCAACGTTTAACATTTACACAAATGACCATCCACTGCCAGAAGGCACAAAGAATTTCATCTACACTAACAATCATGCCATCACCACTCAAGCAGGGAGCTTTGAAATGGTTAAACAGAAGCTCTCCAAAGCTTTACGTGAGCTTACTGCCTATTTCAGAGAAAACCAGCGGATTCATAATCCATTTAAAATGCAGATGTGTACTCTTATGAACAGACAAGGACCTCAAGCCCTGAGGATGACCTGGGAAGGAATCCCACTGGAGCATTACAGAACACCAAAATACCTGGGAGTCACACTAGACTGTGCTCTGATTTACTGCTTGAATATCAAGCAAAAAGTGGGTGTTGGAAATAATATCATATGAAAGTTGATGGGCACAACCTGGGGATCACAACCAGACACAGTGAAGCCATCTGCCCTTGTGCTTTGCTACTCTGCTGCTGAGTTTGAATGCCCAGTGTGGAATATATCTCATCACGTTAAAGCAGTGGATGTGGCTCTTAAAGAGACATGCCGCGTCATCACAGGATGTCTACACTCTACACCACTGGAGAAATTATACTGTTTGGCCAGTATTGCACTACCTGATGTCTGCATGGAAGTAGCAACCAGCATTGAAAAGACCAAGGCATGGACATCTCTGGTCCATCTTCTGTTTTGATATCAGCCAGCATGTCAATGCCTTAAATCAAGAAACAGCTTCCTAAGATCTACAGAGATACTCACAGGAACACCTCAGCAAGCAAGAGTCCAAAAGTGGCAGGCTAAAACCCAGAACCTCAATCAATGGGAATCCAAAGGTTCCCTTGCTGCTCCTTACCTGAGGCAGGATGGCGAGAGGGAGCCCTCGGGATGGCAGCCACATGCAAGGCATTGCCCGCTGCTCCCGTCCCGGAAGTGGTCCTCTTTGCATTGGTCGCACAGCTGACCCTCGTATCCCAGGTGGCAATCACACTGACCAGTCGTCACATTGCAGTCGCTGAGGCCTCTGCTCCCGATCAGGCTGCAGTTACAGAAGACATCTGCAAGAAGAATGTGAAAAACAAGGCTGGAATCAATACAGAGCAGTAATAATGTAATATAATATATTGTATATACTTATAATATTTATAATATTATAATGTAATACAATATAATACTAATAATAATATGATACCAAAAGACCACCAGAAAACACAGTATTTTTTGTTGGTCATGGGGGTTCTGTGTGGGATGTTTGGCCCATTTCCATCATTGGTGGGGTTCAGAATGCTCCTTGATTGTAGGTGAACTATAAATCCTAGTAACGGCAACTCCCAACTGTCAAGGTCTTCTTCCCCCAAACTCCATCTGTGTTTATATTTGGGCATATTGAGTATTTGTGCCAAGATCCATCATTGTTTGAGTCCACAGTGCTCTCTAGATGTAGGTGAACTACAACTTCCAAACTCAAGGTCAATGCCCACCAAACCCTTCTAGTGTTTTCCGTTGGTCAGGGGAGTCCTGTGTGCCAAGTTTGGTTCAACTCCATCGTTGGTGGAGTTCAGCATGCTCTTTGATTATAGGTGAACTATAAATCCCAGCAACTACAACTCCCAAATGACAAAATCATAATTTTTGAGTGATGGTCACTCCTTGTGTTGTGAGACGTTTTGTTGCCAAATTTGGTGTGATTTCGTTCATTGCTTCTTTTGTTTTTAAGGTACTCATTACGCACAGAGCATATATATATATATATATATATATATATATATATATATATATATATTGTATGTATGTATATATGTATGTGTATGTGTGTATGTGTGTGTGTGTATCTTGTAAGCCGCTCTGAGTCCCCTTCAGGGTGAGAAGGGTGGCATATAAATGTCGTAAATAAATAATAAATAAATTAAATTAATTAAGATGCTAACCCAGTGCAACCAACAATGTGTTGAAAGTGTGCTTTGCAAAGCCTGTCCTGAAACACACTAAGAGTCGAGCCTGTTTCAGCAGGGAAGTGGGTGCACATTTGCACCTGAAAGCCAATGTGATCAGTGAGCAAATATGCCTCCGCATTAATCACATGCAAATAGGGGGAGAAACGAGTGCCACGACACAGCTGTTCTGATTCTTCATATTCCTTATTCAGAGACGGCTGCAATCAAAGGCCGGAAGCCCTCCAAAATCTTCATAAAGGCACAGATATGATGAAGTGCGGAGGGAGGGAGGAGATATTATGAAATTTTTTGCCATCTCTGCCTTCAGCTTCCTTTTCCTCTTTTGAAGGCTTAAGTGGGCTTTCTTAAACAACGGAGGTTTTTCTCTGTAATCATGAAAACCATTCCGGATGTTTGAACCTAAATGACAACAAGGTGAATGAAGCATGGGGAGGAAGGAAGGAAAGAAGGGAGGGATGGAGGGGAGAAAGGGAGAAGGTGGAGGAAGGAGAAGGAAGAGAAGGAGAAGGAAGAGGAAAAGGAAACAGGGGGAAGGAGAAGGAAAAGAAAGGAGAATGAAGGAGGAGGAAGGAGGAGGAGGAAAGGGAGAAGGAGGAGAAGGAGAAGGAATGAGAAAGGAGAAGGAAAAGGAAAGAGGAAGAAGGAGAAAGAAAAGGAGGAAAGAGAAGAAGCAAAAGGAAGGAGAAGGTGAAGGAAGGAGAAGGAAAAGGAAAGAGGAGGAAGAAGAATAAAAAGGAGAGGTAGAAAGGAGAATGAGAAGAAGGAAAAAGAAAAAAGGAGCAGGGAGTAGAAGGAAAAGGAAAGAAGAGAAAGGTGAATGAATAGGAGATGGAGAAGGARAAGGAAGGAGAAGGTAAAAGAAGGAAAAGGAAGRAGAAGGTAAAAGAAGGAAAAGGAAAGATGAGGAAAAGGGAAAAAGAGGAGAAGGAAAAGGAAAAGGAAGGAGAAGGTGAAGAAARGAAAAGGAAAGAGGAAGGAGAGAAGGAAAAGGAGGAGAAAGAAGAAGGAAAAGGAAAGAGGAGGAAGGAGAATGAAAAGGAGAAGGAAAGAGAAGAAGCAAAAGGTAAAGAAAGGAGAAGATGAAGGAAGGAGGAAAAAGAGGAGGAGGAGGAATAAAAAGGAGAGGGAGAAAGGAGAATGAGAAGGAAAAGGAAGAAGAAGGMGCAGAAAGTAGAAGGAAAAGGATAGAAGAGGAAGGGGGATGAATAGGAGAAGGAGGAGGAAAATGAAAGAGAAGGTGAAGGAAGGAAAAGGAAAGATGAGGGAAAGGGAAAAGGAGAGGAATGAAAAGAAAGGAGAAAGTAGGGAAAGGAGAAGGAAAAGGAAAGAAGAGAAAGGAGAATGAAAAAGAGAGGGAGAAGGAAGGAGGATGAGAAGAAGGAAAAGGAGAAGGGGCAGGCAGGACAAGGAAAGAGGAGGAAGGGGAATGAAAAGGAGAAGAGGGAAAAGCAAAAGGAAGGAGAAGGTGAAGAAAGGAGGAGGAAAGGGAAAGTGAAGGAAGGTGAAAGAGGGGAAGTAAAAGGTAGACTTGCTTACTACTGTACCCTTCAGTTACCAAAATACCAGATGTAAACATCCTTTTTTTTTTTGCTTGTATGTCCTTCTGAGTCAGCTCCACCTTTGCTGATGTTGTTGTTGTGTGCTTTCAAGTCATGACCAGCTTGAGGCAACCACAATCTCTTCAGCAGAGGGTTGCCTTGCTTCCTCGGAGAGAGGGCAACCTGCCCAAGGCCACTCAGTAGGTCTCCGTGGCTGAGCAGGGATCTAAACTTGGCCTCCTTGCCCCAACCAACTCTCACACCACTCCTCCACATTGGTTCTGCAATACCTTAGTAATTTCAGACACATCCGAGGCTCAATCCGCCATACTATCCTGCTTCTTTGCAATACAAACCACACATTATCAAGTCAGACACTATTTCCACAGAAGCAAAACGTTTCAGAACTTACTTCTCCAGAAGGGAAGCAACCCAGGAAACTACACTGCCCAGGCAAATTGCGATCTATTGTTTCAGGCCTTTATTACCATGGAATACCAGTGGCTGGCCATGCAACAGCCCCTAGGTTTAATCTCCAGTTTGCCCAGTTCAAAGAGTCCCAGTGGAGATGGACTCTGGATATGTTGTGGCTTCAAGCAGGGGATTGAAAATCTTTGTGCAAAATGTAATCCAGTGTATAATAGATCAAGAAGTCCAGGTCAGCCAGGGAGCTGTCCAGCAGGAAGTTCTAGGAGCGGGACATTGCCATGAGTATGAGTTAGGCCTCTTTTCCATGTTAACTCTCAAGCAACCAGAAACTACATTTATGTAGCATTTACCAATCCCAATGGGTGCCGGCTAACTGTATTTGTTATCTTCTACTAATAATAATAACAGCGTTGGCCGGGTTTTTAGAAGTCATTTCTTTATTTTACAAGGTTGTAGATGAACTACAACTCCCATCATACCAGATTAACCCCCTGAAACTCCATCAATACTAAAAGTTTGCTCTGGATGCATCATTGGTGGAGTTCAGGATGATCTCCATCTGCAGGATGAATTACAACTCCCACCAAGGTGGGTCAGTCCTCTCAAATCAGTGGGGTGCAGAGTGCTCTTTGATTGCAGGTGAACTACAAATCCCAGTACTTACAACTAACAAATGTCAAGGCCAATTCCACCCCAAACCCGCCAGGATTCAAATTTTGGCATATTAGCTATGCGTGTCGAAATTCGTGCAGATCCATCATTGTTTGCGTTCACAGTGCTCTCTGAATGTAGGTGAACTATAACTCCTATCAATCAAGGTAATTTCACCCCAAAGCCCTCCTGTATTTTTGGTTGGTCATGGGGTTTCTGTGTGCTAAGTTAGATTAGGGGTCATCACTGGTGGGGTCAAGAGTGCTCTTCGATTGCAGGTGAACTATAAATCCCAGGACCTACAACAGCTATAAATCAAGGTGAATTCATCCCAAACCTCTCCTGTATTTTTCTTAGGTCATGGGGGGTTATGTGTGTCAAATGTGGTCCAGGTCCAATGTCAGTGGGGGTTACAGTGCCCTGACTTGATGCAGGGTGAACTACAACTTCCGCCATGTGGAGTCAATCCCCCAAACTCCTCCAGTATGTCTAGTTGCGTATTAGTCATGCTCTGTTTGTTGTGCAGACATAGTTGAAAAGAGTAGGAAAGGGGTTGGGCTATATGTTCATGGTGATCGTTATAACCTACAATGTCACTGGAGAGAGGGAGGACCTTTGGTGGCTCCTCATAGGTGGGGATCCTAGCTGTTTGTGGAGGGAAGAGCCTTCTGTGAAAGTGGGCACCCCAGCCACATACACACATGCATATTTTCCCTTTTATTATGTGTATAGATAGATATATATTATTATTAWTAATAATAATAATATAATATATTAATTACATTACATAATAATATATACGAGGATTGAATGAAAAGTAATGCATCCACCTTATTACTTGGGTTTGGATGGGAATATTTTAATAAATCAAATACAGAAATAATCCTTAGAATGTGCTCTTTAACTACTGCTATGCATTTTTCCACATAATCACCAGACAATTGGATACATTTCTGCCAATAATGAACAAGTTTTCTGAAGCCGTCACAGAAGAAGTTGACACTCTCTTTCTGCAACCAGCATCTCACACTTCTCTCATCCTGGGTACCCATCGTGCACAGATCTTCCGATAGGTATAAATAAAGATTATTATTATTATTATTATTATTATTATTATTATTATTATTATCTGATGAATCTCCTTTGGGGTGACACCTTCTGCTCTCAAGAATTCAATCACTGCACATTGCTTAAGTCGCACTGACAGACCATCTGCGCAGGGTTCCATACTTCACACTTTAACAACACAACCGTTCAACGCTAAGGCTTCCCATCAAAATGGAACTGTAGAGGAGAGTCTACTGAACAAGTCAGTACCTGCTGCATACCATCTGTTGAGGAGTTACGAAGGTGGAGGCATTACTTTTCATTCAACCCTCGTAGATGCAAGAATAAATTAATGCAATTCACGCAATGAGCATTGCTTGAGAGGACCAGCCGATAAGCCTTGGTCTCCTCCAAGCCTTGCCAGGTCCAACTCCCCCA